CTGCCGAGTCCGCAGACCTAGGAGTCCCTCTCTATTCTCCCTTCAGTTATAGACTTCTTGTATTTTTCTTTCGTTTAGACTTCTGGAGTTAGAACATTATGTATTTCTTTAGCTTGTGATTCATGAGATTCCGGATTTTGGGAGTGTTATTATTGGTCGAGAGTGTTATTATTGTATATGCCGAGCGGCATTTTAGACACTTTATTTATATTTACCTGTTAGTTGGCTAGTTTTGTACTTTTAAATTCCTTTTTTCGCTAATTGTTAGGCTTACCTAGTCGTAGAGACTAGGTGCCGTCACGACAATTCATGGAGGGAGAACTTGGGTCGCGACAAGTTGGTATCAGAGCTCTAGGTTCATAGGAGTCATGAATCACAAGGCGGTTTATTAGAGTCTCGCGGATCAGTACGGAGACGCCTGTACTTATTTTCGAGAGGCTATGTAACTATTAGGAAAATTACACTCCATTTGATTCCTTGTCGTGCGAGATTATTGATATCAAAATTCTTAACCTCTGTCTTCTTTTCTTTCACAGATGGTGAGGACACGTGCTACCGTAGATGAATAGGCACCCGCGCCCCCTGCTAAAGCCGCCAGAGGTCGGGGCCGGGTAGAGGCCCAGGACGCGCACGTGGTACAGCCAGAGCACCCGCGCGAGCTGTTACAGAGGAGCCACCAGCAGCTCCAGCCGGAGCCCAGGCGCCTGATACGCCCACCGCTACTACTACTCCAGCTCTCCAGGAGACCCTTGCACAGTTCATGAGCATATACACCACTCTAGCTCAGGCAGGGTTGATTCCCCTTGCTGCAGCCACATACGATATATATATATATATATATATATATATATATATATATATATATATATATATATATGGTGGCACTTCAGAGATTCAGGTTGATTCTTATATGTCTTTAATTAAGGTTGACTTATTGTTATGTCTCAATTCCGCCTTACATACTCAGTACATTATTCGTATTGACGTCCTTTTGTTGGGGACGCTGCATTCATGCCTGCAGGTATAGATAATCAGACTGACAAGCTCTCATAGTAGACGAGATTGGCATTCAACGATGGCTCGGTAAGACTCAACCTCATTCGGAGTGCAGCTGAGTCTATGATTCATCATGTTAGAGTTTTGCTACATACAGACTTATGGGTAGGCTGGTACCCTATCCCATGTGATGTCAAATAACCTTAGAGGCTTTGTAGACAGAGATTCATTTTGTACAGTATGTCAGAGGCCTTTACGGCCCATATGTATTCATGTTTTAAGAAATGGTTCATTGATACAGTGTTTACCCACTTATAGTTATACATTGCGAGTTGTGCCTATTTTGGCCCATGATAGTTCCAGAAGAAAAAAAATGAGTTACAGAGTGGTTCGCTCGGGCCAGTACGGCACCGAATGCCAGCCACGCCTCCCCAATTATGCTTTTTGATTCAATTGAATCCGAAGTTTGGAGGTGATTGGATTTAATTTGAAATCTGCTAAAACTTCGAATCTGCTCAATTATGCTTTTTGATTCAATTGCGATTGGTGCTGTCGTTTGACAATATTATCAAGAAATTGTTCAGTAAAAGCAGATTAGAGCAGTCGTAGAGATGGAAACAGAGATAAATTTTGGCGCGCAACAATTGTGTTCAAAGCCGTGTTATATTGTAGAGTATCTTTTTTCTTTTTCTATAACTGAAATTCTGTTTGTTATGGCTTAAAATAGGTAATACACAACTGGAAGGAGTCTTATTAAAAGAATGGAGAGAAAATAGAAAGAAGATTTAACTAAATCCCCTAATTTAAGAATGGAGAGAAAATAGGAAGAAGATTATAAAATAGGAACTGGAAGGAGTCTATTTTGCTCTAGACATGAAATACTAGCTAGAGACCTTGTTAATAGGATCGGAATTGCACAAAACAAATCTAATATTCGTCAGGAAAACATTCCCTTTGAATACTGAACGTCATCGTATCCTCATATATATCCTGTGTATACTTACGTTGATGATTTGTTATTGAAGTAGTAAGGATCTATAATCTCATCTCTTGAAGATAATTCTATATTTGGTATGCATGCCCGTGTTAAGGAATAAGGACCTTAATATCAGCCCGCGAACCACCAGAGAAGTGTCTGGATGGAAGCATTTTTTAAAGTAGTTTTTCCCTAGAATAAATAGTAATCTTTTATAAAGCAGTTAAGGAACTTATTAATCTGTTGCAACTTTTTTCTTTTAATTTGTTGAATGTTTGTGCAATCATCATGCATCTCCCTTTTTCTAATTCCTTATACTATTATCCGTTTGAGGAAACATTCAAATGATATCACAAGGGAGAGCTGAAAACTTCCTATAAGTCACATTAAGTTAAACTAGAATACCTGTTTATCTTTTTCTTTTTCCTCCTTTTTTTTTCCTTCTCATTTTTGCATTTAAACTAAAATCTCTAAATGCAATTAAGCAACTATTTTCCTCTTTGAGTGTGTGTGTGTTTCAAACTTTTACCATCAACAATAACTGTTTAATTGTTAGTAATTTTAATTAGGGGCGTACAAAGGAAACCGACAAACCGCACCATCCCGATAATCCGAGTCAAATCGAGAAAAAAAACCCGACTATGGTTTGGTTTGATTTGGTGTTGGAAAAAAAAAACCCGACCGTAACTGGTTTGGTTTGGTTTTAACTAAAGAAAGTCAATCCGAAACCAAACCAACCCGACATTACATATATAGAAATTTTAGATATATTTAATATATAAATATACTTATTGTGATGTAATTTATAAATATTTGTTAAAAAATTTCATAATTTTATCTTTTAAGGTATTATTATTTCAAGGTAGGACTTAGAACTTTTGAATATTCCAATAAGTTTTATACCCATTAATATTAGTAACTTAAATAATGCTAACAAAAGCCCAAACCAAAATCAAATCAATACTAATGCTAATAAAAAATATTCAACTTACTACTAGGAACGACAATGTATTGAATATCTATTTTTTGTTTCGCAATGATTTAGATAAAAATGCATAACCTATTTTTATTTTTTCTTTAGTGTTTAGTCATGTAATTAATACTCCCTTATTAGCCTACTTATTTTAGCATGACTTAGTACTTTTAGATTATATTTATTTTTAATTTTAATTAACAATATTTATATTACATAATTTTATTGTTGAATATTTTAGGATAATGCCATGACACATCTCATATTTTGTATTATTTTCTAGAAAATTATCTTATATAGTTGTATCTTGCTAGGATTAAAGAAATATTTTGAGCACATGTTATATGTTTTGTGCTATGAAGATTTTACCGGAAAAAATACCTAAAAACCCGAGATTGAAATACCTGAGTTTTATTGGTTTGGTTTGGTCTTTAAATTTAATAATCCGACAAAATTGGTTTGGTTTGGTTTGGTAATTGCAAAACCCGAACCAATCCAACCTATGTACACCCCTAATTTTAATATCTCATGTTGGTGTTTATTTGTTTCCTCTAAAATTCCAAATAGTAACACATTCCGAAAAGTAAAATGTTAAATCTTAAAAGAATAGTGATGATGATTGATTCAAGTGGTAATGACAAGACCGTATTTTCATGTATGTTCTTTTACTATTAATTTGTTGCTATATAATTTTGAATGTAAAGTATATATCGTTGTAGTTTTGATAGGACTGATACTTTTTTCTTCATATTGTAGACGTTGTCGATTTAATACGGAGTATGTAATATATATATATATATATATATATATATAGTAGTAAGTGTTACTAGGAAAAAATATTTTTACGGTGATTTAATTAATTGATCAAGAATATTTTATCTATTGTACTTGACTAAATTTAAGCAAGTATTAAATTTTTAAATAAAGGGGCAGTGTTTGTTATTGCGAACTCCAAATTTTAAACAAACCAGGGCCACTACATTCTCTGCTGACATGACACAAGGGAAGACCTTTCAAAATCTCATTCTTTATGATGAGATCGCTGAGAAACAAACAACCTGCATATGAAGCTATTAGAAGATCTGACCATCTAGGTCCATCTATCTATTCTTGTTGCATATCACCTAAATCTGAGACCAATTATCACATATTTTTCTAGAAAGTGAAAGAGTTAAAGCAGCCTGATCCTTCTTTGTTTAGTGCTAGGGTATTACTGCTCATGAAACGGTGGCTCCTTAAACCTAAGAACGAAGTACATGCATTTATTTCGCAATTACTTCCCAACATCATCTGAAATTTGGAAAAGGAGGTCTGCTCAAAGATATGAAGGTGTATTTCAAGGCTCAAATACCATATCAAAATTATGCTCACTCAAGTAAGTATTCTAATGAAATATTCAACATCATCCCTGTGAAATGGTTGAAACCACCTGATGGACAAGTCAAGCTCAATACCGATGGGTGCAGCAAAGGCAACCTTGGCCCGGCAGGTGGTGGAGGTTGCCAAAGGAATCAGAGTAGTGAGGTCATCAATGGCCTATTTTGAATTCTTTGGTGTTTGCTCAAATAACGTGGCTATTTTATTCGAAATAACATGGTGCATGGGAAAAGGCTACAAAAATATTACTCCCTTCATTTTAGTTTATGTTAACCTATCTTCTTAATGAGAAGCTTTTATAGCCACAATTGACATCTTTGTCGTAAGCCTAAGTAGAAAAGCTTTCTAGTATTCACTTGTTTTAAATTCCAAATAATTTACGCGGCAAGCAATTTTATTGACGATTTTCTTTAATATGTCATTGCTTTGAATTTAACACTAATACGTTATCAGTTCTCACCACCTAAGGATGTTCCGGCAGTGATGTCAAAAGCCAAATTGTACTTTCAATATTTTCATGGTCAAGGGCATTCAGCTCAATTGGAGGGAGGACAGGACTGATAAAGTGAGAAAAATACTTTTCAAAGATTCCTACATTGCTGATGCACAGGATCTTTCTTGTGCTAGCAGTGCTTACTAGGTGCATCTCATGCAGAATATACTCGGTAGCCAATCTGAAAATAATTAAGAAAAAGAGCAAATGATAATTAAAAATTACTTGTACAACAGACTCATATTCACAAGGGAATAACATAAAGCTTGAAGTTTCGCTAATACTAGAGAGAGCCTACCTTAGACAACTAAACAGTGACAGAAAAAGAGAGGAGAATAACCTAAACTAATATACATACGACCTTGTTGCTAATTCCCTCGATATGTCAAACTATAATGAGGAAGAACTAAAGACTCAGAGACCCGAGTCAACTAGCTAAGTTTACAGTGTCCCAACTGGATCAAACAATATAACCAGTTAGCACATGATACACGCCTACGGACGAAGGATGCTCATAAAGACCCTTTTGTTGAGAAACATGAACACGGCAAGGTTCAGAAGGCAAGTGGCGATTCCAATGAGTAGTTAATCCGATCACTAGCTTCCTCCAATAATAATGCCATCTACTTAATCAAATTCATTTATCTGCGTCGTACTGAGCTAGAGTGATGGTGAGCTTTGCTGTCATTCTGTATCCCTTCCACATAAATTGGCAGTCGAATGATCTCATAGATCTCATTCAACAACACTTCTTCAGTGATGTTGTCAGTAATACTTCTCAAAACCTGAATTTTGTCGTACAGGGACCGAAATTAGTCTACTAGGTTGCTAACTATCTAATATATGACAAAATATGGAAAAGGTTATATTAAAGCACAAGTCTACGTATCAAAAAATCAACCCGTGAACTTAGTATTTGCCAATAAAGTACCTTCCTGTACGTGTTGTAATCATTTGGAGTTCCTTTATCAATTCTGGTCCTCATCCACACCCATTCTTGGTTATTGGAATCCCAAGAACACTCTATTATTTTACCCGAGTAGTCTGACGGGTCAGAACTATCTGTAACCATGAAAGAAACCAATTTCAGGACATGCACCAGCATATAAACACCAGCGCAGGAAAAGCCCAAAAAAATATAAAAGGAAGAACAAGAGTTCACGGGATACAAAATAAAGTGCAGGAGAACTGTTCAGATACGTGTCTACAAGGACAGCAGATTATGCATTTCGCTGGATGTTTATATCATCACTGCTAGTATCAGTAACTCCAAGCAACGAGAACCAACTATTGGAAAGACCATTTTAAAGAGCAAGAGAAGAAACAAAGCTGGTGAATTCCTGTCAAAAGCCTGAGAGGTGCACATCCTATTCTGACAAGCATGATCTTGTTAATTTCACATAAAGACTAATGTGACACCCTAAATGTGGATTATCTGGTTCACAGTCACGTGCAACAAGGAATTCCCATATCGTGCTTCCATGTACTTTTCCTGAAAATGTGAACAGATCTTCTACTGGCACTTGATCCATTGAGAACCTTACTGTAAATTCCAAATAATCCCACTAACATATCCGACCTTTTTTCGACTTTAGCAACTGATTCAATTTCAAGTTGTGGATGATCCACGTTCTCATTACTAAGAATCAACTATAAAAGCACAAGAAAGTTCAAAAAAACAAGATTATGAGTCTTGAACTTAGTGGAAGGTTGGGATTAGAAGAGGATCCGTTGTCAAACAGCAATGCTGCCTTTAGTTTAGCCACAGCAAGAAGTACCAACAGAAATTTTTATCCACAATCTTACTACTACATAGCAACTCACAAGTATCAAAAAAGGAATCTTGGCAATCGAAACAGAGCAAGTCGTGAAATAGCCTCCACCAGATCACACATTGAATGCAGGTTACTCACTCAAATAAGCGAACCACATCTGATTCCCCACAAAACACCATCCACCTAGAAGTTTTACTAAGCAAGAAAAAAAAAACTAAACAATTTTTTTCCTCTTTTTTTGGTTAAGTCAATAAAAACTAAACGAGCATGGGATGCAGATGATATTCGCCTCCTATATTCCCAACCAAACCCCAGATTGAGGGAAACCTTCCGGCATGATACCACGAGAGATTAACTAAAACAACAGTGGATCTCTAACCTGGGAAAACAACTCTATTCCCTTCCATCAGTTTCTTCTTCCCTCGTTCATGTAGATAAAGCAATTCACGACCGTCGACCACCTGTTTTATCACACTAATATGAGAGAATAAAGCATGATTCGTTTAACAGCGGCAATTCCACATAAACCGTGGAAGACAAATGACATTTGACAGGTCAAGGGGTAAGGACAAAGCAAAAATAAGAACCAAAACGACAAAGAGGAAATGGAAACAGCTCTAGTCACTAGGAGAGCAGAGAACACTACCTCAAACAGGAAGTCAACCGAGTTCATCTCGGGGTATTTCCACTTCAACAGACCATCATGCGTGAGAGGAACATAAGGATCTAGCCAACCCTAAAAAGGATAGAAACCAGTAGCTGAGTGTCAAGAACCTAAAATGATTAGATTTGTACGATTTATGTCTCTGTTTCTGTTAGCGATAAACATGTCATCTGTCAATTAAATGAATGAGGATGTGCTAGAATCTCTAATACTTCTCTGCAACACAACATAAATGGAGAAAAAAGTTGAAAACATCTTCCAAATAGAGTTCCCCAACAAAGCAACCAACACATACATGCCATACAACTTGGAGACATCAGATATCTGAAGTGATGTAAAAACTTAACTCCTCCGGGAAATCCAATACAACAATGTAACAAGAGAATATTCAGTGCAATGGCTAAAGATTTGTCACTCTTTAGAACCTGAAAAATAAGACCATCTGCTTCATGTGAAAGCTCTGGAATAAGTTCTTTGAGAACTTTTCTGACAGTAGAGAGCAGCCAAAAATTCTTCCTCCTCATCTGGCAGACGTTGAGATTTCAGCAACCACATTAGCTCGAAATAATATGATAGTTGAAAAAGTGGATACTTCAAAGTCGACAAAACATACCCTGAAAGGCTCACACTCATATCTATAGTAAGGGTTTCCACTCTGGCATATATGTTGGCGTTCATGATTCCTTGGCCCGATCACTTCTTTGTCAATCATTCTCCAGCGTTCACAAAAGGGTTGCTGTAAGAAATACCAAAACAGAGAATGAGCAACATCAATGGAAAGATGATGTTTGCAGAAAAAAGCAGGCAATCAAGCCATACAGAATGAGGTGAAGTGGGTAAAGCTTAACCAGAGTGAGAAACATAATTGAAAAGACATTTCAGATACATTGGTTTCTTGATCTCCAAGACATTTATTTCATTTAGGGGTAAGGTCTGCGTACACACTACCCTCCCCAAACCCCACACATGGGATTATACTGGGTTGTTGTTGTAGTATACGAAAATATAATCACACCCCACAACACACAGCTGATTAAGAGAACAAGATGATCGAAAGTACACGAAACATGCTCGTGCTTTGTTTGCTCCATGAAGTAAATAGTGCCAGGATAGACAGTACAAATATGAGTACTACGTGCACATACAGTTTTACTGATAAGCATTGGACTGATGCATATCTTTCTTCCGCTCGCTCCTATTAGGGTGTTGGAGCTCTAGTTGCAGTAAACACAAAATAACTTCTTAAATTTAGCAGAAGGAGAAACTGCCGTATGACGGAGGACCCGACTAGTTTGGGATCGATTGATTGATCACCGTCTTAGGTAACCACATGGTTGAGATGCACCTCAAATACCATAAAGAAACAAAAATTCACCAACTAATCAAGGCAGCAAATGCCTCATACTAGTTGGTGACACCATAGCCAGCTGGAGCCCTCCCACATGATGAAAACCATGTAAACAAGTTCTAAGCATTCCCAAACCAAAAGCATATTAGCATTTATCCACTTTAAAAATTCTAATGAAGCTATACGTCCCTGCAGCTCCATTTTCTAAGGGCAGTCCATTATCCATTTGAGTTTCGATGCTGAAAACAACTGATTTCTCATTAACAATAGTTTAAACAAATCACCATTACTATTATCCCATAAAAGAACTAAACACCAATTAGTAGAGATAACACGCAACTTTCAATAAATCAAGAGGTACAATACCTCTGGGACAAAAGAAGTCAAAATCTCCTAATCTTCTAAAATTCACAAAGCATAAATGACTTTCAACATGCCCCCAAGACTTGCGCAGAGTGTAATTTGTGGGTTAGGCATACGCCACTGGTTTGAACCCCACCAATCAAAAGCCTGGTATTTAAGTGGAGATGGCTAGTGGTGCGGGCACATTAACTAACATGTTCTGAACCATGAGTCACTGGCCCTTTGGGGTTTCTCAATTATCAAAATAGATACTAACACGACCTCAAGTAACATAAACGAAAGTCTTACACTTCTACCACGAAACAACATTTAGGGAGAGACAAAATGTCTTTGGAACGGACTAAAAAGGAAATAGCCCATTTGTCAAGAAGAAAAGGAAAGTGGTAAAGCCAATACTGTTATAATTCCCGGTGATACAGAGAACCAAAAGCGGTGTGCCGGGAAAAGCGGACATGGACGTGAGGCTTGCCTCTCAAGTCATCCCCATGAAAGGGAGCTTCAAGTACTTGAGGTCGATTATATAGGGGGATGGGGATATTGACGAGGATGTCACGCACCGTATAGGAGTGGGGTGGATGAAATGGAGGCTAGCGTCTGGTGTCCTACGTGACAGGAAGGTTCCTCCGGAACTTAGAGGAAAGTTCTATAGAGCGGTGTTTAGGCCGGCCATGTTGTATGATGCAGAGTGTTGGCCAGTCAAAAATTCTCATACCCAGAAGTGAAAGTTACAGAGATAAGGATGCTCAGATGGATGTGCAGGCACACTTGGTTGGATAAGATTAGGAATGAAGATATCGGGGTGAAGGTGGGCGTGGCTCCAATGGAAGACAAGATGAGGGAAGCTAGGCTTAGATGGTTCGGACACGTGAGGAGGAGAATCCTGGATGCACCGGTAAGGAGGTGTGAACGGCTGGCCTTGACGGGTATGATAAGAGGTAGAGGGCGGCCTAATAAATATTGGGGAGAGGTGATCATGCAGGACATAGTGCGGATGCAAATTTCCGAGGACATGGCCCTTGATAGGAAGTTGTGGAGGTCGAGCATTAGGGTTGTAGTGTTTTGTTTTAGGCTGCTAGTGGCTCCAGTTGTGTTCTTAATACTTCATTAGGGTCGTAGGTTAGGCTGTAGTATGTTTAGTGGCCCTTTGTGTCCATATTATTCCCTTGCGTTTGTAGTACTGTGCCTCTGTTACTCCTTAGTGTTATTACTTTGCTCTCTATTTTCTGGTTATTGCGTTGCTCGTGTTATCTTTTTGGATTCCTTTGTTGTTAATGATACACTGTCTCTTTCCTTCTTGTGCCGTCTACCGGATCCAGCCTCTCTACTCCTCCGGAGTAGGGGTAAGGTCTGCGTGCACACTACCCTCCCCAGACCCCATCTGTGGGATCTCGCTGGACTGTTGTTGTTGCTGTACAGAGAACCAAAAACCCCTGTAGGTAAAGCCAACATTAATTTTTCAAGAAGAAAAGGAAAGTGGTTTCCTGAGAAGAATCCAACCTCTACGATAGACACACCGTTGAGAGCCATCATATCATAAATTAGGTATCTCCTTTCTTGCTTCTGTGTGCCAGGCAAAGTATCAATTACCATCTCCCCATCAAGTAAAGTGAAGTGGTGGACCCTTTTGGCTACACCCTGGGAGAGAGAACGAGAATTTCATATGACAAATCATAAACAGAAAAATATCAACCAGTGAGATATAAAAGGAGGAAAAAGAAAATCATAACATCCTAATAGCTGAGTGGCATACTTCATCAGTGTGTGTGCACGGAAATCTCATCTGAACCCTTCGAAAGTTGAAATGTCTATCAATTAAGAAACAACCACCCATCGTGATCAGCATCATATACCGTGTCCCATCAGCCTTCCATGTGGCATAGTAGTAGCGCTGCCTTAATAATTGCAAGTTGTCCCTGCACATCATGAAGATTACCTTGTGATGAACTCTAATAGATGGGTCCTTGCTTTGTGTTGGATGCTACCAAGCAATTGTTTTTCCAGAGAATATTAGCGTCCATGTCCAAACCCATATGACGTTCAAATATGAAGACACATAACATTATCATCCGTGAGTAAAATTTGTATAAGACATCTAAAGAAAATACAACTACTCTAAACACATTAGATGGACAAGCTATCATGCAGAATAAAGAGAACCTCTTATTACTACCAAACAAAATGAGCAGACGGAAGATGTACTCAAAGACCCCTATGAATTTATAGCATCAGATTCCAGGATGATGGAAAGGAATGTTAAGGCCAAAATTCTTATTTGTGGCCTTAGTCCTGATGAATACAACAGGATCTCAGCCTGCTCAAATGCTAAAGAAATTTGGGATGCTCTTCAGACGACTCATGAAGGGACATATCAGGTGAAGAGTCAAGAATTGAAATGCTAATGAGAAACTACGAGCTATTCTCAATGAAAGGCTCCGAGCCTATTCGGGAGATGGTTACTAGATTCACCATTATCACAAATGAATTAAAGTCACTTGGGAAAGTGTTCACTTCCGAAGAACTGATTACAAAGTTTTAAGAATTCTTCCTGCTTCATGGGAAACAAAAGTCATAGCCATTCAGGAAGCCAAGGAGTTGGATAAAATCTTCTAGATGAGTTGATAGGAAACTCGAGAGTCAATGGTACACCAAAACATCCACAGCACCTCACTGGAATTTGGAAGCATATTACAGGAGGATGGAACAAATTTGAGGCAAATATGGGCTTCATCCTTGGAAATGAAAGGAAAATAAGGTTCTGGAAAGATGCATGGATGGGCCACACTCCTCTTAAAGATCAATTGTCTGATATCTACAGTATTGGTATTTCTTCGTTGCACAATGGGGTAATTGCTGATTTTTATTCAATGCAACGCTGCAACCTCTTTCCTAGAAGGAACTTAAATGATTGGGAAGTGGTAAGTTTATGTCTTTTGCTTCAGCTACTAGGCACCATAGCATTGGACCACAATAAAATAGATTCTACCAGATGGAAGGGACATTCCAAAGGTCTCTTTTGTTACAATTTGCTGGAATCAAGTAACAACAGGGATTATTGGCCTTGGAAAAAAAAATTAGTTTAGCAATGCTCCTTAGCAAGTCTCTTGCTTCTCTTGGATTGTGGCTAGGGAAAGCTTTTTCACTTATTCCAACCTCCAAAAGAGGGGATTTCAGCTTTGCAGTAGGTTCCCGATGTGCGAAGAACACTACAAAGATGTTGGCCACCTCTTCTTGCATGTAGAGTTACTAGACAACTGTGGAACATGCTTTTGGCAATACTTGGCATGTCGGGGACAATGCCAAAATCCATTTTGAAGCTATTGCAATGCTGTGGAACACAAGAGGGATTGCGCAAGACAAAAGACTAGGAATACCATTCCTCAAGCCATTTGGTGGACTCTTTGGTTTGAAAGATATAGCAGAATTTTTGAAGGCAACAGGAGAAACATACATAGCCTTAAACGAAGATGTATTTGTTTGCAAGCTTTTTGGTGCAGCCTGCTTATTGTACATGATGAAGTTGGATTTCAAGATACAATAGAGGAACTGCACTTTTTGTAATGATGTCTTTTAGCATTGGCTTAGTGCAAGTATTCATAAAATCATTGATTACGTATCTAAAAAACCATTTATTTATTTTTGAACTGTAGAACTCGTTCAATCTTAGATTAAAAATAAGGGTAGCCCAATGCACGAAGCGACATGTAGGATTGCAGAAGGGTCTGAATCCCCAAGGGATGTGATCGTTTAAAAATAAATGAATAAAATTTATTATGCTATTAAAATTGAAAAAAGAGCATGACCAGTTGTTTTAATGATGCTGATTAGCAACCTTGGTGAGAGTAAACTAACATGTAGACATTCAATTTTTACCCTCCCTTTTTCGCAAAAACAAAAATCATACCGGAGAACAGAAACCCAAATTCTGTAATCCAAAGATCCTTGTTTAAAGTCGTGTGGATTGTCGAGGTCTCGGGTAGTTAAAAGTAAAATACATTTGTCGGAGGTATGGTTTCATTTGCTTAGTTGTGAATTCGATTTGCCAGATCCATGGGTTTGCTTTGTTAGCAGAATTAGTTTTGCATTCCTTTGGTTTACATTGAAGAGCACAAGATCTAGTTAATAGAAGTTTTTTTTTTTTGGGGGGGGGGGACAAGAACCTACGTTGAAAGAGACTAAGCTAACAAGGGAGCTACTGCATTCCACTTGTCAAGTTAAGTTAGCGTCACACAAATTTTGTTGATTGTGTGAGTCTCAAAATAAAATTCTCTGCAAGTAACGGAATTCACACTTACAAATACAGTCTTCAGCTTGATATGCCAACTGGAAATCCTTAAGTATTAGGTACACCTCCTAAACTAAAAATCTACTTGAAGAGACGTAATGTTTGAGCATATACCATACTGGTCAGAAATATATGGCTATTGCTCGCAACCACATGATGAAAGAGGTCCGAAATATTACTGCCACTATCCAAATGTTAAAGACAATTAACATGTTACATCACACAGCAAGGTTTCTATCAGCATTTCAGCACCATCCAGGAAATGTAGATAATGTCATGTATCAGGAGTGGAATTTTATGTACAATATTCTCTCTCTTTTTTATAATAATTACTTTTTTGTAGTTCCTACTTCCTATTCAGATTTAGGTGGACCAAAGTGTGAGGATTTACTTGTTCTTTACAATCAATGGGTGAACAGAGGCTTCTTGTATGCATGGCTAAACACAAAATGCTAGACATAAGGTGACACATGACTATTACAGCAAAAACATATAACAAAATTACAGATTCCTGAATAATGACTCGAATCAAACCTGTTAAGAGAGACTGGATGTGAGCCAGGAAAATGTGTGCCTCTGCCCTGAAAGACAAATACAAAAGGACTCAAGAGTTAGAATAGAAGAGAACAGAGATCACTATTTTGCAGAAATCACAACTGCACAACAGAAAGTGAGTCCATAGCAAGACCAAAAAACATAGAACGCGCATAAACAGAAGAAATCATTGTATACAGATTCCATCCAACTATCAAAGAAAGACACCAAATGAACCGACCACAAAATTCATACCCTTGGGGTCATTTTCAGTGCTTGATAACAGAACTGTCGCAAATCACCTTGCTGATCTTGTGGGACTGCATCACCCAGGATGTCGTCATTTGACAATGATATTTGTGTTTCGCGATTATCCTGAAAAGGCAGAAAATGAGTTACAAGGAAATTCTAAAAGCTCTGTAAGGATAAACCTTACTGCAAGCCCAAAGTATAGATACCAAAACTCCAACATGTTGGTACAGAGATGTAATCACGAGGAGCTATAATCGTGATATCAGCATTATCATGCTGAGATCTATACTCCTAGTTTGACCAGCATCGTTTGAATAGATTATTACATAAAGTTTTATTGAAAAATTGTTTGTTTTAGACAAATTCGGCAAGTGCCAAGTGGAACAGCTAGCTAGTAAGATGTCAAACAAGTTTTAAGTAATGCAAGTTTTATTATTTCATATTTTGAATTTTTGGACAGAGAAAGACTTTTCATTTAATGAAGGAGGCCATGTTTTCCGGGACAGAACAAAGGAAAAGCAAAATCTGGTTTCTCAGTATGGAGAGAGTAGTAGATTAGGCCAGATCAAGAAAGAACTAGTTTGTTGTTCTAAAAGAACAGCATGATTTCACAACCAGAATGCGGGGTGTAATTTATAATCAAGATAGATTATATAGTTGCAGCATGCCAAAGACCTCCTCCTCCTCACTTAAATACACTCCTCGCAACCCCCCATCCTCCCTCCCTCCGCATTGCCTTTGTCTCTCTTCTATACCCCCCCCCCCCCAACACACACACACACAACAAAGCACCTCCCTCTCCTGGCCCAGCCCACACCCTGTTCTCTAATCCAGCAGGCCCACCTCTCTTGCTCAACTCTCTGGCTCTGGCAGTCAAAGACTCAAAAGTTTGCCTTTTGGGAATCTAAACTTTTAAACAGCAAAAGGTGAATCAAATTGTACACCGAAAAATATATATAGTTGAATGTCTGCCCACACTCTTTCTTCTATGAATATAATCCTAAAATTTAACCATTCTGCAACCATTTTGGTAGGAAGCACCCAAACATTAAAGCTTAAAAGAAGAGGGCAGTGGTGATTGCATATAAACACCAAAATGTACTTTCCCCGTGAAAGATTAGAGAAAAGGGAGGACTAACCTAGTTTATGTTTTAGAAGGTCAGCAAATATGATACTATCTGGATGTGCATTCTTCTAATTTCTCATCCGAAACACTCTTTACCAAGCTGAAATGCTTTTTCTAAGTTCTAAGCTATGGTTGGATCCTTCAAAATTCCGCCGCATCGGTGACAGATCTTCCAAAGATGCATAACTTTTGGAGGACCCGACACACACCTAGCGGCCTTTTGGAGGATCCGAGCAACATAGAATCTAAGCAAAGTTAGATCTCTTCTACCACTTTTTAGCACCTTGTCAAGCTTTCCTTCCTTTAATTAGAAGGACAATGAATAGGTAACAGCATGCTTGTTCCAAAATGAATAGGTAACAGCATGAAGGCACAAAAGCTAAAAATGCAAATAAGAAATATAGCAATATACTGAGTTCAGAGGAACTATATGACAAATCCCTCTATCTGACAAGAACCAACAATCCTCATCCTCCTTCCATTTTTTCTAGTAGAAATCTTTACGTCACATTTAGGCAGTCATGTTGGACAAGAAAAAGGAAATGGAAGGTATGAACAAAAATTTCTTAAGCATTAACTTTTGCGTACTAATCTCAGACTTAATTAAATGGATAGATAAAGGGGTATCAGAGATCATTTTTCTATTATCATTCCAATGAAAGTGGGTGGAGTAGAGAAAATTACATAGGAGTCAGATCCTGACCTAAAACTAGTTTGAGATTGAAGCATAGTTGATTCATTGATAGTATCAGAATTCTACGGAAAAGAAGTTATCACTCTAAGAATACCATATCAATATTTGCTGGTTCAAATTTTACGGAGGCAAAAAGAAGGCATACTCAATATTGAGACCAGACATGGAAGGCATCTCAAGTTTGACGGAAGGAGACTCATATAAGGTGGCTGAAGTAGCCTTGACGAGCAATCAGGCTTAACTGCCAGATGATGCCTCTTAAGAAGCTTCGGCAGTCATTACATCCCAAGTATTGCAAGGTCATAATTCAAGAGTCTCTCATTTACAAGTTCTGCTGGCAAAAAGATTCGGGAATGTCATAAAATTCGTGGTTTTCAAAATCAAGCTTGATATTGCACTCAAAATCAGAATTCATAGCTTTCTCACCATAAAAGTATCAGAAAGGGATGGGTTTCACATTCTAATGTTGAGAGCCACTAGAATGGTAGCAGTAGCTCAGTGTTCACATTCAAATTAAAACAGTCCTGGTGAAAACCGAAAACCAAACACTTCACCCATGAATAAAGTGCCAAGAATCAAGGGGAATGTTTTCTTCAGAAACACATACAGGCAACGAAATCGCAGGACCTCCATCATCATCGATATCCGGCATAGCATCGCCATTCAAATCAAGATCAGAAGACCTTTTCCACTCAGGTGTTACAGGGCAAACAACCATTTCAGGTTTTTCCTCATGATAAAAGGCATATAAAGCATCAATATAGTCTGGCTTATAGATCCCAGGAGGGCGAGAATCAGCAAAAATTTTGATTGCCTGCATAAAAATACTCTCATTATTCAGAGATGTGGTGTAATTAGAGGAAATAATTATTCAGTATAGCAAAATTCCTTACCTGAGTCACAGATATCGGCAGCGTACGCATAAGAAAATGAATGATCATGAACCCGGTACGATTAAACCCATGTGTGCAATGAACAAGAATATACTTCTTCACATCTTTCTGACGGACAAGAAATTGTGAAACCTGATAGAATATAAATGTTAGTATCTGATTCCTTTCAGTAGCAAATAGCATTCAGCGAGGATGTGAAATAGTTACCTCTCTTCACTTAAACAGAATAATACTCGGATGACTGTGTGCTTCTCATCTATGCAGTGATTCCTAATGCTTATAAAACCTAACTAGAAGTTAACAGCACACCTTTCCTATATTCTAATAGTATTCTTTTTTTATCTGAGACAAATTCTGACTAAATACAGTTTTCATTGCAAAGAGAGTATTCCCGCAACTTATGCACTAAATACCCAAAAGGCTCTTATCTCAAGGATGTTCAGGTTCCTCAAGCTTTGATTATTTTCTCTTTCCTTTTTTCCTTTTTTGGGGGATGGTTGAGACAGAAGCGTGCGAATTGGGATAACCCAAGGAGGACATGCAGGCATCAAACAATGCTCCTTTTCATATTAATAAGAGTATGTCACTGTGCACTAAGCTCTCGCTATGTACGGGGTCCAGGAAATGGCCGGACTCCTGGACCACATTCGGTCTACGATGTGCAACATTACCTTGCATTTCTATAAGATTTGTTTCTACGGCTTGAACACGTGACCTCCTGGTCACACTGACACGGCAACGACTCTTACAGTTTCCCCAGGCTTCCCTTTCAAAGCATAGAGTACATCTATAATGTAACATAGACATTTAAATGACATCTACCTTACCTTTCTCAAAACAGCTCTCTTTTCTATTCTCAAAAAAATTACATACCAACTACACATGTGCTCTCCCCACTTGATTAACAAACAACTAGATATTAATAATTTCACCAAGTGTAACATGTCACAATAAATATGTAACAGAGAGAGCAAGAGCCGACCTAACCAGGGATGATCAAGGTATATAATTACTTCTACATGTTAAGTGATGCAAGCAAGCTCATCCCCACACAAAAATTCAAGTAAAACTGCAACTAAAAATGTATACAATTACCTCATAGACAAATAAATGGCAAGACTCGTTGTCAGGTACAGCATCACGGCCTTTGCATGGAATCTAATACACATGAAGAGTTTAAAAATCAGAACCACCATAATTCAAGGAGAAATAATACTCCCCCCACCACCTATTTGCTTCCATGACGTTATTACCATGTACCAACCTTTACATGCTTGATGCCTTCTTTCCTCCATTCTGACGATGAATAGTATCGAGTTGTATTTGTGAGATCAATCACCATACCAAGCTGAAAATTTTAACATGCAAAGAGTCAGTTGTAGCTTATGCACATGCTTTGACGTCAAGGTAACCAAAAACAACTAAGAAATCAAAAAATTGAGAAGGCATCTAGTGATTCTATCATACTAAGTGGCAATACAAAAGAGAATATAAGCCTCATGTTAGATATAAAACATCTCCAGGTCATTATACTTTATCAAAGATATAAAACATCTCTAAGACAACAGCTAATAAGCAGCAGATTGTTTTCAAATTAACTGCACTGCCAACAATGTAACAAGAAATGCCTCAAACAGCAATACAATTTCTCCTCATAAAACCTTCTAGGACTCGGACATTTTCAAGATAAAATCCACGCCAAGGGGATGAACAAGGACCATATTCAGGTTAACACGCTCACCTTTCTTCCCAAAACTTTCTGTTGGTGGAGGACTTGCCTCAACGAGTATCTTTTGCCAGGAAGAACACAGTCGTTGAAAGTTTCATCGAGAGGAACCTTTGAAGGAATAATGCGACCTATCTCCCGCCCAGATGCAGGACAATCCAACCAACCTGCATCCGCAATCCGCAAGATAAATGATGTAATATTACTAAGGGAAGTCAAGAAGGAGGAAACAGCGAGAGAAACAAGAACCTATGTTGAAATAAATAGCAACCTAAAGATACATAGATGACAAAGAAAAAAAAAGGACTATACAGAGGGAAGCAGGAATGAACTGCGACGTCTACAGGTCATCCACAGACACAGAGAAAGAGATAGAGAGATAGTGCGATAGAGAGAGAAAGAGAGTAAACATGCATGGCAGCTCTTATACAACTAGCACTCTAGGAAAAACCCAGTAACCTGGAGGAAGTCTGCTGTTAGGCTTCTGTGTCTTTGTCAGATATATCTCATCGTGCATTCGTGGCTGAGATGGATATGTTGGTCTATCATCTGGACGGTGTCTTTTAAGTCTTTGAATCCTTTCCTCCCGCTCCTAAAACAAATAGCATTTAAAAAGAGGCCATGGAAACTACAAAAACAAAAATCAAGTCTCCACAATATTAAGATTCACAAGAACATACCCCTATCTATGGGTACTTACTCCCCTGTCACCTATCCCATCCCACTACCACTGAAAGAAGCAAATCCTATTTCTTTAATTCCCAACCCCCACCGCCAACGAGATTGGTGGGAGGAGGTACAGCGTGTTGGCACCAAAAAAGTTCTCATTAGATCAGTCAGATAGCTGACTTGAAGATGACCAGATTACCAACAAAATGCTGAATTTCCCGTTAATCAAAGGATAATCTACTCAACAACCTAAATGACTTCCCCCTTCCATACTTTTTGCTGAACCCCCAACTGCTTGCTTGGCTAACCAGGGGGTAAAAAAGGAAAGCAATTACCAAAAGAATCTAAAATAAGCTAATCCACGCTCTTCATACCTAAGGCCCTATCCAAGAATCTTGAGCCAACATATAAGAGTTCAGATTAACATGTTCTGCACTTGTGAACTGACGTAGCTTCAACACCGGTATACCAGTAAGACTACAGCAGCTTCAGGTTAAAAATCAGTGTAGACAACTCAAGCTCCTGGATTGTGCTAAGCTTAAGTGTGGTTTGATCTGGAGACAAGCTATGCGGGGAAAAGTAATGTTGGGATAGGTAATGCATGGATTGTTTATGTGGGGGATAGTAATGCATGATTGTTATGTGGTGAATAAAATCGAAAGAATTATTCTACAGTGATTAATAACAATGAAGAGATTATTGTTATACAAGAACTACTTACTTTAAGGGTACTTTTGTCTTTAAATGGTCTAATCCACACATTGCTCATAAAGGAATTCTTATTCCACATTCTACTCGGCATAGAATAATACATATATTTTCCGCATAACTTATGCAAGTATTACAGTGTTGTTAAAAGCGAAAAGCGTCAGAAAAGGCTCCAGTTCTATCAGGGCTTTAAGGACAAAGCACAATTGAAGTGCGAGCTTCAGTTAAAAAGTTAAAAAGGCACAGCAAAGGGAAAAAAATACACATGTAATGCAAGAAAAAAAGAACTACTTCATCCATAATGATTTCCTTAACAATTAACATATCCTTTTGTCAATTAGTTTAACTGTTTGGAACAGCTCTATCCAAGATGGAATTATGGGCAATGAGGCGCACAACTTGGTGCTTTTGCCTACATCGGGCATAGCCTAATGAGGCGAAGCGCTTACCTTGAGATTCTCCGAGCTTCCGCGCTTAAGTGCGCCTCAAATGAGCCTTTGACAATATAGAAGTATTATTTATAAGATGATACGAAATTGCAACCAACCGATGTATAAATTTTGCTAAATTTAATGAGGAGATTAATTCTCCTCATTCAAGAAACCAAAGAAGGTACTGGTTATGCCAGTGTTGTAAAAAGCGTGCGCTTCTCGCTTAAAACGCTGAAGCGAGGCGAGGCTAGTTCGCTTTACCTTGTTAAGCGAGAAGCGCAACGATGCAAAAAGCGCTTAAGCGAGGTTAAGCATCTGTTAGGGTTTTTTTTATAAAAAATTGGCAAAAACTTACGCAATCAAACACTTCTTCTCCAAGCGACTGCTGCTCCAACGACTGCTTCAGTGCTTCTTCTCTCTTTTCTCTCTTCTTCTCTTCCTCTGATTTTCTTTGGTTCCTGTTTGACTCCTTTTTCTCTTCTTTTTCTATTTTTTTCACTTTTTATTGCTCTGTTCTTGTGCGGTTGTGCCCTAATTTATGCTCTGTTCCTTCTATGCTCTGTTTTTCTCTTCATCTTTCTATTTTTTTCACTTTTTATTGCTCTGTTTTCGTGCCCTAATCTATGCTCTATTTTTCTGGTTTGTATTTCTCTGTTCTGGTTCGAAAAAAAATTAACTGTTCTGTTCTATTCTTTTTTTTTTTTTTGGTGGTTGTTGATTGTAGTAAATTCAATCTTATTCAATGGCATCGAGCCAAAAAAGAGATCCAGCTTGGGCCTATGGAGTTGCAGTTGGCAGTACTAACACAAAAGTGCAATGTATCTTTTGTCAAAAAATTTATAACAGTGGAATACATCGTCACAAGAGACATCTAATTGGTGGTTTTAGAGATGTCAAAGAATGTCCAAGTGTTCCGGATTCGGTTAAGCAAGAAATTAGAGACAATGTTGAAAAAAAATGAGTTAAAAAATCCAATGAGCCACGGAGCATCTATGATTAATCTTCTTGATGAAGATAGTTAAATGGATGAGGATAACCTTGAAGTCAATGATATATCAATGAGGCCACCTCCCTCAAAATCTCAAAAAAAGAATTCAACAAGTGGAAGTGGATCATCCACCGCCGGTAGCAAGGTGAAAGGGCCTCTTAATCTTTATTTCCTCGCAAAAACCAAATGAAAAGAGAAAGGGTGAAGCTATTGACTTAGATTCTTGTAGGAAGAGTTTAAGGGAGCGTGTTGTAGATGCTTTTGCCAGGTGAATGTATGATGTAGGGCTCCCTTTTAATTGTGTAAATTACACCGATAGTTTTAGTGAATTCATTGAGGTTGTAGGCCAATATGACCCAGGAATGAAGCCCCCAACCTATCACGAAGTAAGAGGTCCTTATCTAAAAAAGGAGGTGGAGAAGACAAACAAGATTGTCGAGGAGCATAATGTGCAATGGAAAACTTATGGTTGTTCCATTGTGATGGATAAATGGACAGCAAAAAATGGAAAAATGGTCATTAATGTTTTGGTGAATTCTCCGAGAGGTAGTGTGTTTCTTGAATCTTATGATGCAAGTGACTCTTCAACCGATTCCACTAAAACGTTTAACTTGTTTGAGAAGACAATATTGAAAGTTGGACCGAAAAATGTGGTTCAAGTTGTTACTGATAACGCAAGTGAGAATAAAAAAGCGGGTGACATGTTGAAAGGAGTTTTCCCGAATATTTGTTGAACTCCTTGTGCTGCACATTGTATCAACTTGATGTTTGGCGACATTTTCAAGTTAGCCCCATATTCTACAGGTGAACAAGTGGTTCTTATTTTGTATTTTAACCTTCATGTTAATTGCTTATACTTATTAACTATGAAATTTGATTTCCTACAGGTTTTGCTAAGGCGGTCAAGATACACTCTTACATCAGTCAAAGGGCGTTGTTGTTGAACATGATGAGGAGATACACAAACCAAAGAAATTTGGTGAAACCGGCTAAGACAAGATTCGCAACAGCTATCATGACTTTGCATAGCTTTTACCTGCAAAAGAAAAATTTGCGAACCTTGTTCATGTCAACTGAATGGAGTGAGAGTCCATGTAAAGGAAGCTCTTGGGAAAGAAGTTGCGAGATTTATTGTTGGTCCATATTTGTGGAATGACACTGTTCAAGCACTTAAAGTTGGTAGTCCTTGGTTACTATACTTCGTTTGGTGGATGGGGAGAAAAAACCACCAATGGGATACATTCATGAAGCCATGGATAGGGCTAAAGAAGCTATTGAGAAGGCACTGGAGCATGATAGGAGGAAATATGAGAGAGTGTTTGAAATCATTGATAAAAGGTGGACAGATCAGCTTAATCAACCTTTACATGCAGCAGAGCATATTTTGAACCCCGGACTCTTTTATACAAATAACGAGAAGAAGACTTTAGATATAGAAGTGTGGAAGGGGTATCATGCATGTGTTGCGAAGTTGGTGCCAGATGAAGCGATGGAAGACAAAATAGGGGAATAGCTTGGTGTGTATATGCAAGCCGATAGAATACTTGGATTACCTTCGGCCATTAGAGGCAGAACCAAATTGGCACCAGGTGAGCAAGTTTTTTCAATTGTTTTACTCTTTAGAGCTTTAACTTTTAAGTTATTAACTTCTAAATAATACTTCTGCAGTTGAATGGTGGATGCAATTTGGTTATGAAGTTCCAAACTTGCAACAATTTGCTAGTAGAGTTCAAAGCTTAACTTGTAGCTCATCCGGGTGCGAGAGAAATTGGAGCGTTTATGAACATGCGAGAAGCTATATTACATTGTTAACTAAATTAAAGTGTATCTCAATTGTCCTAAGTACTCCTATTAATTACTTTCTACAACTTATATGCAGATTCATACTAAGAAGAGGAATAGGCTTGAGCTAAAGAAACTCAATGATCTCAGGTTCGTAAAATATAATAGAACATTGGCTCGTCGTTACAAAGCTCGCAATATCATTGATCCAATTTTATTGGATAACATTGATGAAGCAAATGAATGGTTAACCGGAGCCCCCGAAAATCATGAAGAAGAAGAAGAAGTATTTGAAGGAGAAGGTCTCACTTTTGGTCATGTTGCTATGGCAAGTGGAGTTGAGGAGAATGTTTATGGTTTTAGGAGAAGTACTTTAAGGAGCAAAGAAAGAGTATCTACAAGTACAAGTAGAACCCTAATTGATGAAGCCTCCGATGAAGAAGAAGAAAATGATGACGATATAATAACTCGAACATGATGACACTTCAAGAGTTTGGAGATCGAAGAATAGGATGTTGCTCCTTTTGTGATTTTGTTTTGCATTTGCTTAATATGTTATGACTTTTGAGGATTATTCACTATCTAGTTTTAGTATCTATTATTTACTTCTTGATTTAAGAATTGAAACATTTGCTTAATATGTTATTTTTATTGAGTTCTTGGCAATTTATCTATGCCTATTTAATTTTATTATTTATGTGTTTTTTTATGAAGAATTTTATTATTTATGTGTTAAATTGCGCTTCACATGAAAAAAGCATGCGCTTCGCTTCGCGCTTCTCGCTTCGGTGAAGCGAGGCCTCCTCGCTTTTTTCCGCTTCTCGCTCTCCAAATTGGGGCTATGCTGATGAAGAGATTAATTCTCCAATTCAAGCAACCAAATGTGGCTCTAAGGGTTTAAGGAAAATTCAACACTTGGGATGTTTTCTCAAGTAACTTTCCATCTATTTGAAAATATGCCTAAAAATAGTAGTCTTTAAACTTGCCTGAAAGGCAGTTTTAGAAAGCTTTAAGCTGGTTATTACTCTGCTGAAGACAAGCAGCAAAGAAACATCAACAAAAAGGAGACAAGTATCTAACAAAGAGCCCAATAAAACAATAAAGAACCAAGTTCAAGTAACATTACAGCTCAATGGTTGATATAGCAAGTAGTAGAGACAGAGACGTACCCGGCGTGAAATCTCCACAGCACTCGCAACATAATCTGCATGCTCATGGCTATGTTTCACAATGAATTCTTCTGGTTCATCTTCTAATTGTTGTCCAAAAATCTCTTCGTCATCCTCTGGATGAGGCAAGGCATTCAGATCCATGCAGACAATTCAAGGCTCACCACAAAGCATATGTCAAGGTGCCTATAAGCATTTATTAGGACCACAAGCAAGCCATCAAAATTATGTTCCTACAACAAATAAGACGTAAATCAAAATATCCAACTACATGGCCAAAAAGAAAGCTGATACTCTTAAGCGATAACCGGGAGGGCTGAATTTATTCAAGTTTCCATAGCATCATTCAAGTTTTAAAGTTAATGAAAGCAAACAAACATCATAAATTCGGATACCAGAAAAAAATACATCAATGTATTGGGTACAAAAGGAAACAATACTGCAGTAGAGATGATATGAAACAGAATAACAAATGAATCAGAGTCAAAAATACAACCGAAACGATACTGGAGTCGAGATGATATGAAACAGAATAACAATTGAGTCGGGTCAAAAAACACAACCCTTTTTGGTGCTAGAGAACTAGAGAGAAAAGAAACATATCAACCCAAAAGGAACAAAAAACTCATAGTGCTTTCCTACAACGCGGTTATTTGGTTTTCATTTGGGGTCTCCAATACACAACATGGTCACTTTTGAAGGAAAGAGGTTGCTTATGAATGACCGTAGATGTGAAGTGAGAAGGCAAATAAAGGTAATATTTATATTTTGATGACTGTGGTATCCAGGCTAGTTGGATACACCTCGACTAATTCCATGGTGTACCTGCTACATCCCACCAGTACAGGTAACGGGTAGCTCTATCCACCAAGACTTGGACTGATGGAAAAAAATCACCTAGTAATTTTACCTTTGCTGGGATTTGAAATCGAGACCTCATGGTTATCAACCCACTTCACTGATCACTAAGACACACCCTTGAATTCCAAATAAGGATAATTATGTCTACATTTGAGCAAAACCATCCGTGAAAGAGGAACTAAAGCGTAAATATAGTTTTGAGAACTCGAGGAACTGACTGAACCTCGAAAGATAAGGGAGGTCCATGAAATTAACCCTTTGAGACATTACGCACATGATATTGTTCATGTACACACTATCGGATATCCTCCCCAGACCCCACTTGTGGGATTACACTTTGAGTTTGTTGTTGTTGTATCGTTCACGAGTTACGAGTTTATCTTATGGTCCGATCCAGAGTTCACATTTAACTTTGTTGCTTCGGACACCGATGCATAAACACGTAAAAATTATAAAAAAATTCCAAATATTACAAAGTTGAAACTTTTTTTTGGAGGAAGAGAAAATAGGCATTCATTTAGCCGGAAATTGAACATTTTTTTATAACTGAGAAATCTCGAAGGCTAAGAGCATAGTTCAAAACTCAGTAGATATTGGACCCATCCCTCTACACTTCTCCCACTTAAATACCAGGCTTCTATCTACGGGAAGGTTGGAACTCATGATGCGGGCATAATTCATACATCCCACTACACCCTTACCGCAATGAAAAGAGTGAATAGTTAGTTGAATAACAAAATACAATTAATATGAATGGCTATATCTTTATAACAGCTTGATCTTTCACAAAAGCAAAGTTCGGCATGTAAAGAAATGGGTCAAGTGAACCAAAGTGGACAAGATAGGATAGTGAAGACACTAAAGACCTTCACTTATCAAACTGAAAATCTAATGAGGTGTTGAGGAAGTACTTCTAAAAGAACTGTTTTCCTAATGATCCGAAATAAAAGTTCATCAAAAGTGAGATCCTTAACCGATCAAATGAAATAATAATGAGGGAATGAAGAACTATTACTCTAAAGAAATGTGTTACTTATGATCCTAAAAATAGAAGTTCATTAAAAGTGAAAAACATCTAAGGTAATAAGGGGGAAAAAAGTAAAAAGGAGCTTTTTTACTCTCAGATGGGTATTGCCTTCAAGCAAATTTATTGCATGTTTTTTACTCCTCTATTCCTCGTCTCATTCCCACCTTACCTGACCCTTCTCTCTCGTGGATGCACTCTAGAACAAAAATCTTCAGGAATATACATACTACTATTATGCTATATTATCTACCAAATTAAGCCGTCATTAATCATTATTTTTTAAATTTTGACATATAAGCTGTCATTAAACAATAAACGCTAATTAACTACAAAAAGAGCTCAAACCTTGAGGAAACCAATTGCAGGAACTCAGCTTGAAACCAGACGAAAAATCCCTTTACCGTACAGCGAACTCAAAAAACCCTACAATTAAGTAGAAATTTAATGATTCTTCACGAGTACAAACTCAAAACCCTAGAAAGAGAAACCAAAGCGCGGTGTTGTGAGAACGAGAGATCAGAGAAATTTAAGGCTCAAAACGAAGACAATGAATTACAGATTTCGAAGAATTGAAAATAAATGGATGATTGAATTGAAAACAGGGAGAGATACGGGAAGAGAAAGAGGCAAAATCACCGTTTGAGACTAAAGTAAAGAGGAAGGACGCGAGGGTCGATTATCAAGTATACTAGATTTTTCCGGAAAAGAAGTTTTAAAAAAAAAAATTGTATGTTACAGCGTGTTGTGCTTAAATTGTCGTTGCATCTGGCCGTGTTCAAATCCAAATCCAAACGGAAAACCGAATTCAAACATTAATGACTTATTGGTATCGGGTTAATGGTTTAACGGACGGGAAACCGATTAAATTTTTTTATAGACGGCTTATCGGTTTGGGAGCGGATTATGCAATTTTCTTAACGGATATTCGTTAGCCCGTTTAGAATATATATATAAATTTATTTTTATCCATATATATACATATTAAATAATCAAAAACCCTTCTTCCTCCGCTACTCTATCAAAGTGAATTAGAATAAAAGAAAGTCAAATAAAAGGAGTCATCTAACTGTGACAAAAGATAAATTTACTATATAAAACAAGATAACAACACCAGTTACACCACTGCTTCATCAACTTTGCCTGGGTTTTAAGGCATCCTAGAATTCTAAGCATGACGAATATTTATTTTAACAACGGTCAATTGGAAATCTTTCACGTGGACTAAGGCCAATGTGCATAAACATAAATAAGATTCTAGACAGATGATTTACCCATCACGGTGTCTCTTCTGCTTCGTCCCTCTTAGTACGTCGACCACCTATTTAAACATACAGTGACTAAATTTTTTATTTTGATTGAATTAGGCCGACAAACCGCCCGATAAGAGCTAAACCGGTATCAATCCCCCGATATCTTATCGGGTGGCTAGCGGATTAATACATTTAAAAGCCGATAAACGATAAGCCAAACCGTTAAGAGTAAATAACCGCCAAATCCGCCCGATAAGCAGCCCTAGTTGCATCATTATCTCATTTTTTTCCTTTCTTCTTGCCCCTTTTTAATTATTATATCATCCTATTGTATCCTTTATTCTGCCTTTTATATAATAATTCTATCATATATCATACTTTTCTTTGTAATGTCACAAATTTATTCTTCATATTATTGGAGCATAATATCACAAACCGATGAAAAATAATATAATCTATTCAACATCATATTCATCAACTAATATAATATCGTATAATATAATAAAATACAATATAAACGACATGTAACAACCATCCAAATAAATCATAAGAGGAGGTCGGGGTTAAATTAAAATGGAAAAGAGTCGTAAAATAGTTTAATATTTCTTTAAAAATTTATTTTTAGTTTTATGTCATTTCTACAAGAAACTTTTATTTTTACGCGTAAGAGATTTGAAATATAAAATTCTAATAAGAGATTTAATTTTATACCAACTCATGAGAATATAAGAAAGTTAGATATGTGCTTAGAAAATATTTTTTTATACTAAATAATTAGAAAATAAAACTAGTAAAATATAAATTAAGAAAATTTTAATGTGTTATATTTAAACTACATAATTGTAAAAATAAAATTGATATTAAATTATAAGTTGGTAACTAATATTGTAAATAATAGTTGTTATTTTTATTAGCTTTTAAATAACTAATATTTTAATTTAAAACAATTAATAAGAGTTTCAATTATGAATTTAATTTTTTTTACCAACTCATATAAAATATAATATGAAATATATTTTTTGTTGCACTTTTTAAATAACAAAAACATAGGTACGAGTTTAGAAGGTATTTTTTCACAATTATTAATACTAAAGAATAGAAAATAAAGCCAGTCAAATACGAATTTGTGTTTAACAACTTATAACGATAAAGAAAAATAAAAAAGAAGAAGCTAAACATGAGAAATTATAAAATTATATGGAAGAACACCATAAGTAACACATTAGCACACTGGAAATTTAAAAAAAAACAAAACAGAAGAGAATAGTATAAAAAGGATTGTACTTAACATATTTGAAAAAATAAAATAAAAGTGAATTAGAAAAATCACATTAGCTTGTAATGATATCGTGTAACTACTACCAATTCTCACATTCTTTGAGAATTGGATAGTGTAATTACACCCCCTTCAATTACATTCAATTTCATGGCGAACAAATAATTACTTAACCAGATGATCACGGCCAACTACTTCTATAAAAAGGACTAAGTGATCATTGCAAATAAAATCCGATATTACAGAGTCGAATGACACAAAGAGCTTTAAGGCGTTCTAACTAACTTAATCACTAAATAATCTAAGTTGAATAAGAGCAGCCATTACAATTGAGTTTAGTAAATATTAAACTAAATAAAGTAAGGCAAATAATTATAAAATTAAACTAATAGCAGTAAAGTCTAGAGAATTTGTAGAGGATAAAAGGTCTAGGGCAAAGTATCCTCCAATTATCGGGATAGACCTTGTCACGACCCAAATTTCATTATAGGTCGTGCCGACGCCCAACACCGTTATTAGGCAAGCCAACCCTAATCAACTAGTGAGTTCTCATTCATTTTAATAAACAAATTCCCACATTTACTTAACTTAAATTTAAAACAGTCGAACATTAACAAATTTATAAGGCAAACGAATCGGGAAAGACTAAAGGAAGTCATAATAATAGAAACACAACCCAAAAGTAATAGTCTACTAATGTGTGTACCAGGAACTAGTGTTACAAGTACTAGGGCAACTAGTAGAATGTACAAAAGAATAAAACTATCCTACTGCCGGAAATAGAGTAGACAGTAATAACAAAAGGAGAGACTCCAGCATATTGCTGAGCGGCTCAGAAGGGGGCAGCTCACCGTGAGATCTCGAGCAAGTATCAGGAATGCGCGTCGAACGGGTAGCTAGATGCACCTGCCTCAGATCCTGTACAGTTGAGTACATAAGCATAGTATGAGTACATAAACAACATGTACCCATCAAGTATCCAGTCTAACCTCGAACAAGTAGTGACGAGGGGTCAACTTGACACCTACTAGGGTCAATAATAATACAGTTTAAGTGTTACGCTAAGCATGGATAGTATGAATATAATGATAGTCCAAGAACAAGAAGAAAAAAAATTTCTTTCTTAACAACATATCAATTTCAGTCATATCATGTAATAAGTTACATTCCAAAGCATTCAAGCAGTGTAAATCACAGAAAGTTCAACATAAATAACATGCGCACATTGTGCCGAGGTCGTACGGTCCAGTCCGATATAATAATAAATTGTGCACTGCCAGAGGGTCAAATGGCGCAAACCATAGATGCATCTATTTACTACCGAGGCGATCGCCCCGATCCACAAATAGCAATTTATTATCAAGTAAGCACACATTGCCCATTTATAGTCAAATAATTCATACAAGTTCTCAAGTAAGTGAGTATAGCCGCCTATATTTACTTACCAATTTCTAGCATGACCTAAGTGATCTCAGTAACAAGCAAGGACGCAAGCGTTTGCAAGTATAGCATGATACGGGTCCTAAACTACTCGGACAATTAGCATAATAGTAGCTACGTAGGGACTCTCATTACCACGTACATACGTAGCTCCCACAAATAGCCACATACATTTATTTTATTCACCTATGGGGTTAATTCCCTCTTACAATGTTAGAAAGGAGACTTACCTCATCCTAAAGCTCACTTCGAATTTTAAGAATGCGCTCAAACCCTCAAATCAGAGCCGAATGATCCAAAACTATTCAAATGCGGTAAGAACTGGTCAATATATGCTCAAGAGTTCATATTCCAACTATTAAACTAATTTCTCAACCCTAAATGCAAGGTTCCTAAAATTCATCCCCGGGCCCACGTGCCCGGATTTCAGAAATTTTTGAAGAAAGTTGTTACCCATAACCCAAGGATCAAGATTATATGATTTCTACTATATTCCATAACAAATTTCGTGGTTAAATCTCATTTTTGTCAAAACCCTAGGTTTTAATCTAAACCCATAATTTTCACTAATTTACATGTTATAATCTACCCATAAACTATGTATTAAACTAATATTAAGTAGAAATAACTTACCTACCAAAGCTAGGTTGAAATCTCCCCTTTTGAAGCTTCCAAATCGCCCAAGAATGGAGTAAAAATGTGTCAAAAATGACAAACTCCCGTTATTTAATGAAGGCCACTGCCTTCAGCACTTTCCGCATCTTCGGTCCTGGGCCGCACCTGCGGCAATCACATCTGCGGGAAATGGGCCGCTTTTGCGGAAGGCCAACCGCTTCTACGATTAAGGGGCCGCTTCTGCGATTTCTGGGCTGCCACCCATGGGCGCATCTGCGATGGCTTAGCCGCTTCTGCGGTCTCGCACCTGCGCCTGGCCAACTGCATGTGTGGTTATGACAGAAGCCTGGAGCTTCAGCTCCTTCTCATATTTCAACTAAGCTCAAGACTCGTCCGATTGACACTCGGGGTTCCCGGGGTCCTGCCCGAACATACCGACAAGTTTGGAATTATAAAACAGACTCGCTCGAACACTTGGAACACCAGAAACAACATTAAAACTAGGAATCACACCCTAAAACCAATTGATTCAAACTTATGAACTTCAAGTTCTTCCATTTACTTCCAATGTGATGAAACACACTTATACTACTCAGATTGACACCAAATTTTGCGTGCAAGTCTTAAATGATATTATGGAACTATTTCCGGTCTCGGAATTCCGTTCGGACCTCGATACCACAAAACCCTCTCCAAACCAAATTTAAAGAACTTCAAAATCCTTAAGGAATCAACTTTCACTATTAGGCGCCAAAATGCTCCGGGGTCATCTAAAACCCGATCCAGACATATGCCCAAGTCCGAAATCATCATACGAACCTGTTGGAACCTTCAAATCCTGATTCCGATGTCGTTTACTCAAAATGTTTATCGAAGTCAAACTTGGCCTCTTACGCCAACCTTAAGGAACCAAGTGTTCCGCTTTCAACCCAAACTCTTCCAAATCCCGAATCAACCATCCTCGCAAGTCATAAATCATTAAAAACAAGGACAGGAAATCTTATTCAGGGGAACGAGGTTCTAGAAAGCAAAACGACCAGTCGGGTCATTAAGCAAACTCCACCTCTTAAACAAATGTTCGTCCTCGAACGAGTTTAGATTCATACCTGAAGTGATAAATAAGCATGGATATCTGCTTCGCATG